CTACAATTCTAAAACTGAAAGTGATTTTAAAGATCCTATGTCTTGGTCACCTCATTTATAGATTTGATTTTAAAACATGCTAAAGCTTTAGTTTGTGAATATTTTTGTGTTTTTTGCTACTTTAGTAAAGAAATAATAGTCTTATTTGATTTATATTTCTTAGACTGTTAATTAGATAACCCATTTTCCACTTGTTAATTGTTTTTTGAATCATCTGGTTTTACCTCTTAAATATATTAGTCAATTAATTATATTTACAGTAAATATATTTCCCAACGTATAGTATCTTTTTGTGTTGTTTTGTTATATATTCATATGATTTAATTTTCATGTCATTACATGCATAGGTCTGTTTCCTTTGAGAGCCAATAACGTAAATATTTTTGTTTGAATTTTATTTTTTTACATATAGCTCTTTAATTCATATTAAACTTAGAGTATAAAGGGAGCCATGACTTAGCTATTATTAAAATCTATTTAGCCAATATGAGTAGAGTTTTAAAATCAGTGAATAATAAGTAGATGAAGTAATGTGAATGTTAATTACTATTAATGAGATAATGCTAGTATGCTGTATCTTTTAGGGACTTGGGAACCAGGCGGATTCAGATAATGTTGCTGCGATCCTTGCTTATGGTAAGACATTGCCACAGGTGAGAGCCCTCCTCCTCACATGACTGAAGAGGTGAAAGCAGCTTCCCATTGGGAGCCTCTTTTCTTACATAGTCAGGTCCTAGTTATGGTTCGTTTTCTCTGTGGTTTGTGTAATTAAATATTAGCTTTCATTTTCTTGTATTTTATTATGCTTTTACTATTTATTCCTTCCTTCTCCTCATGGTGATGAAACATACAGAGGACAGGAAGTATTGCCCTCTGATAGATGGAGATGCCTGAGCTCAGGGACTTGTAGTGGAAGCCGTGGGGGAGGTTCACCACGTCACGGAGCTAAAGAATAGAACTTGGGCCGAAACCGGTTTGGCTCAGTGGATAGAGCGTCGGCTTGCGGACTGAAGGGTCCCAGGTTCGATTCCGGTCAAGGGCATGTACCTGGGTTGCGGGCACATCCCCGGTGGGAGATGTGCAGGAGGCAGCTGATCGATGTTTCTCTCTCATCGATGTTTCTAACTTTCTATCTCTCTCCCTTCCTCTCTGTAAAAAATTAATAAAATATTAAAAAAAAAAAAAGAATAGAACTTGGGCTTGAAATCCAGTCTATGGGTCATGCTATTCTTTCACACACTGACCCAATAGTGGCTTCTTCTTTGGGAAATAATTCAGCTATAAGTAGCTGAAAAGGAAAAGCATATCTGACATGGGAGGCCCTGTGCTTATTTCATAGTAATTATATTCCTCTTTGACTCAGCGGCACTTTACATAATGCTGGGTGGGGCTTACTGTTGGGAATGTGTCCTTTCCCTGTTGGTGCTCTCACAATTTAATCTGAACATCTTTTGTCAATGATTTCATCTTTTCAAAGGAATATTTCATACCTGGGGAGAAGTACAGAAACATCTCATGTGATTTTCATGTTAATCCTGTTTATGGTACTTGTCATAAAGAAATTTTAAATTCTAATATAGCCAACTTTATCAGTTCATTCCTATGTTTTGTTTTTGTTTTATTTGTGTCTTCACTTCTTGCCTCTTCTGATGACATAAGCACATTGTTTATTATTTTCTTAAAAATGTTTTTAAAATTTGGCTTTCTACATCTAAAACTTTGATCTGAAGATCATTTTTGTATGTTGTATGGGACATGGATATATTTTTAATTTTTAGGGGGGTAGCAGTTGTCCCACCAATATCTTTGCTTGCTTATAAGGTCACCACCATCCTATAATACATGTTCCAAATATGTTTGCAAATATAAATGTACATTTAAATTGCAACCTCAAATTTTATCTGGTCCTATTTTTCATTAAACAAATTCTCTAGTAGATCATCTTGACCTAATCCTAATTGTACCCGCATAGTCAGCTGAAGGAAGGTCTGTGTGGTATGGTTAAAATGTTTAACAGCATTTAAGATACACTGAAGATATGAAAAGCTTAACATTTAAAATATAGAGGTTCACTCAGAAATGTCAAATCAAGTATGTAATAAAGTACCACTTTCCAAACTGAAAATGTATTCCTATTAACCTAACCTGCTTAATTTAAAAGAATAATTTAAAGATTTTCAGCTCTTACTTGAACCATTTGCTAGCTAATCTTATATTCATGTAGCACTGATTACCTATCCCATATGTTCTTAACCTCTCTGACCCTCAGTTTTCTCATATAAAGTGGGAATGCATGCATGCCCACCTCACAGGGATGTGGGGAGGATGCAGCTGATGCCCGTGGTGCTTAGACCCTGCCTGGCATGTGGGAAATGGGGGCTGTCATTACGGTTACTCTCTTTACGAATGATGTTTTCGTAATTCGGTAAAATCCTCATCACCTTACAAAACTTTTATTTTTTTATTCAGGCTGATGTCCATACTTATTCCCCTTAGTTTATGGCTTTCATAAAACAGTTTTGAGAATTTTACCAAACAAGGACTCATGACAAAGGTGTTTTGTTTGTTTCTTTGATCCTCCCTGTAATCAGGTCACCTCTGGGTACAAAGCGAAGACGATTGTTACTGCGCTCCCTGGGTCTTTTCTGGATCCTCTGCTGTCACCATCCCTCATGGAGGACTATGAATTGAGACAGTTAGTCTTGGAAGTGATGCATAATCTCATGGATCGCCATGACAACAGGGCAAAGCTTCGAGGGATCAGGTAGTGCGCCATCTTGAAATAGGCTTAATGATGATGTTTTTTAGTTTCTACATTCACGTATTTAAGTGTGATATTTTTAAATCTAGGATTTTCAGGTTTTATTAATCCAGAGTTTTATTTAATTGGTATCAAGAGCATTTAATTATCCGTATAGTTTAAGATAGCAGATGTTTAGAGGTCTTTTCAAAGATCTCAACTACTAGTGGTTACTAGTTACATGAATTTTAATTTTGCTTTAAACTTAGAAATGGCATTAGGAGTCAAGATTACTTTATAAAATTCTTAAACTTCCTAAGTCAGTGATATGATTACATAATAGACTGACTTAACATGCTCATTGAAATGAGTGGTACATAGTTCAGACTCCTAAGTATAGCTCTTGATTTGCCACATAACCCATGATATTATAACTAAATGTGCTGTTTATTAAAAATTATATATTGATTATCTCTAGAATAATACCTGATGTAGCTGACCTAAAGATCAAAAGAGAAAAAATCTGTAGACAAGACACAAGTTTCATGAAAAAGGTGAGCTTATCTTCTAAAAAATAATGCATGATGTAAGTGAAAGCCATTTGAATAGTTACATAGTTTTATATTGACATATGGCCTTGCAATGAAGCCATACTTTATTAATAGATTGAGGTTGGCTTGGTTTGGGGGAAACCTCTGCGCTGTCCCTGGGAATTTCTGTAACCTCTCCCTCTGTGTCAGCTGCAGACTTGCCTTTGGGGACTTCATGCCAGCGCATAGCAGAACCTGCCAGGCTCTTCCCTGGACGGGCGCTAACCGCCTCCCAGGAGGCTCCTCTCAGACAAGGCAGCTTAGCACCTTCGCCCTCAGCCAGATCCCCCCTCATTACCAAGGCCCCCCTAACCCTGCCATCCACTTTAGTTTTTGCTTATATCAATCTGCAGTCTGCTTCTGTCTTTTCAAATACCACTAAAAATATTTTCATTGTTGACACTAAAACTTTTTCTTACTTGCTGTTTTTATTTAAGGCTTGTTCGTCACCTCTTCTGTTAGTTTGTAGTTGTATGCTGGTATATTTGTTGATGTTAATGATGGGGATACAATTTGACCATCTAATTATCAGTTTAAATTTCTCTTCCACTGTATGTTGTGTAATAAGATAGTTACTTTATAAGAGGTTATATGCATGTGAAATCTGCCTTTACTACATTTTAAGCAAATATCTTTTTCCTCTGTCATGACCCTTTTCAGAATGGGCAGCAACTATATCGGCACATATATTTGGGCTGTAAAGAGGAAGACAACGTTCAGAAAAACTATGAGTTACTCTATACTTCTCTTGCTCTTATGACAATTGAATTGGCCAATGAAGAGGTGGTTATTGATCTCATCCGCTTAGCCATTGCTTTACAGGTATGCTTTCGTAGCCTTTCATTGAGGAAAACATTTTTCTATGAAACAGATACCATCTTTAAAGTGTTGCACTTATCCAAGGACATGAATTTTTAAAAGGGAGTGTCTAGTTTTAAATCTATAACACTCAAGACAGTGACCATAGGCATTTGTTTTGTTAACAAATGTTGAATGAGCATTTGTTTGTGTGCTAAATATTGATCGAGTCCCCAGGAAAATACTGTGATGAAAGGACAGCATGATCCCTGAGCTCATACTTGGAGTTCAGTGGGGAAGAAAGTCATTAAATAATATATATATGTAGTTGTTTGGTTAGGAGTTAAGTATTCTGTAATAAAAGGACAGTAAGCAATGAGAGTATGTGTATATATTATATGTGTATATCAGAGAGATGTTTATATATTTAATATATATATATACTATTTTTTCTTAGGAAAAGCTAGTTGAGAGATTTTACTCTTCTATAAATGGACATTTATTCTCCTTTTAGAATTTAAAAAAAAATAACTTCTTATAAGGTGACATTTTGGTTAGCATTCCAAACCACCCGCAGCTCTCAGTGGCGCCGTAGAGGGACCTGGGAGCCTAAGCCTTGTGCTGTGCTTTCTGTTAAAGGACAGCGCCATCCTCAACGAGGACAACCTGCCCATGTTCCACCGCTGCGGCATCATGGCGCTGGTGGCCGCCTACCTCAACTTCGTCAGCCAGATGATCGCCGTCCCTGCGTTTTGCCAGCATGTTACCAAGGTCAGGTATTGCGAAAAGCTCCTCAACTTGGTTTTTATACAAACATAGCTGATTTTCTTTTGGTGATGATTAATTTCAATTTTGATGCTTATGTATCAAATTCAGATAATTCTATAGAATTATGCAGTGACTGAGTCTTTTCTGGATCCTCTGTCGTAAATGGAAACTACATTAAACCATTATGAATCTTAGTATCTAAATTTTCTTAAATTTTACTACTTGGTTGTTACTGTTTTAAACTAGTCTACTTGAGCCAGATCTCAAAAGTTGAATAACTTTGTTCTCAGAGATTTGTTCGCGGTCATTTGACTATATTTGGCTTTTTCAGCAGTAACTCATTAAATAATTACTTGAATGATTTAAAAACATTTTAGGGGAACCTCATCTTATGGAATTGGGGGTACATCTCTCAGTCCTTACTAAAATGTTGGATTTCAGTGCATTCTAAGAAATAGAACTCATTCATTCACTAAACAAGTGAATATTTAATGCTGTGAAAGCAGAGTTACCCCTTCAGTTGCTCACAGTTGACAGAGGAGCCAGACTTCCCGTGCACTGAGCCCTCTCCTGAGGGCTGCCCAAGGAGCACGGGGTTGGGGCATGCCGAGGGCCGGTGCTTTGTGAGGGATTTCCAAAGCAGGGGCAGCTGAGAACATACGTGTTCTGACCCTTTGCAGTAGGTTTAATCAGGTGTGACGGGTCATTGTGTTTTTACTACATGTATTACTTTATTGTCATGATTTTGTTACCTGGTGAATTTTAAAAATAATGTAAAATGTAAAAACAAAATGAACTCTACGTTTGGGCTGTAAGCATAGTTTAAATTTAAAAATAAAGTGATGGTATTTCTCATATATGTTTAGTTTTTGTTTCTGTTTTTTGTTTGTTGTTTTAGCTTTCCATGTTTTCATAGCAGGGTCCTGAGAAGAGAGGTTTTCTATTTTTATTTTGTTCCTGGGTATTTTTCAGGTTATTGAAATGCGGACGATGGAAGCCCCTTATTTTCTGCCAGAGCACGTTTTCAGAGATAAGTGCACGTATGTTAAATCTTCACATTTTAAGGCGGGGTGCTGACTTGAGAGACCAGTCAGTGATTATAAAGGAATCAGCTGCTGAGAATAATTTTCTGGTGTTTTATCATAATCATGTTTTGTGTTTCTGGCATTTAATTTGTCTCACTTCTTTCTCCTGCTATAGAAGTTCTTATACTTGATAAATATAGGCTTGTGCAAACATAGATCAGTCTTTGATTAAAAAATATTTATCTTTTTAATATGGAGATATATCTCCTAAATAGCATGTTCTCATATAAATGAACACTCCTTTAAAGAAATACAATATCCTGTTCAAGATTTTCCATAATAGATAACAGTACTCATAAAATTCTGGGAGAAAGACTGTATTAAGGAAAATTAATAATTTATACACTACATTCTTCCTTGCTATTCAAACAAAAAAATAAATGAACAATGTGTTCTTCACACTTTTGGGCTCTAAAAGCGGTTTTCTATTGAAAGCATCAACATAAGATAAAATCAGGTCGTTTGATAGGAAAGAGAAGCTTCATGTGATTGGGCAAGTGCTTCCTGTCACTTGCCTGCCCGTGCGGTTTTTCATTAACTAGCACAGACGGCATGTTTATGTTCTTCTCCCAGTAGGTTTTAATCACCTTGCAAGTTAAAGCTGAATTTAGTCCTCTTTATCATGTAATGTGTGAATACCAACAGGACAATGTAAGCCTGACCTCACCGCTATTGGGGAATGAGTCACAGCAGAATGGTTAATTGGAGGAACCATGTGTCCTGCTTTAAAGAGCTCAAATGAGTCCTCTAAATTATACTGTGCCTATTGCTAATTACAGTTCATTTATAATATTTAAGCTTTGACCTGGAATGTTTGAATGGTAACTTATTTTTGCTCGGTAATTTAAATAACACTGAATTACTTTGGTTTAATCAATCTGACAGGCTTCCAAAATCTTTGGAGAAACATGACAAAAGTTTGTACTTTTTGACCAACAAGATTGCAGAGTCACTAGGTGGAAGTGGCTATAGTGTTGAGAGATTGTCAGTGCCATATGTACCACAAGCCACAGGTGAGTGGAGGCTGATTAGAACTCTCATTCTAGTGATGTTTCAATAACTTTTCCATTCTCAGTTAGCGATGAAATAGTTTGTATATTTACTGTACCACAGCTTTACAAATGCTCAACGATGGTTACTTGTATTTTTCTATTTTCCTCTTGAAAACTTACTAAGTCTCTAAAGGTATATACAGGGATGAGCAAAAGTAAGTTTACAGTTGTAAGTGTGCTAAACTGTTATTCTTTTATTATTAATTGTTGTATTATCATTACCCTCCTTTTGCCCATCCCTGTATGTGATTTTATCATGAACAGATTTAATCTTCGAGTGATTATTATCGTTGCACTAAATAATAATATACTTTAAACCAAGAAGGAAAGTGAGGTCTTTCCTCATTAACCAATGTTGTCTTTAACTTATGGAAATGGGTGAAAATTGTTTAATTAGTTAATTGTGTTTATTGAGCTAATGAATTAGGCAACTTTTGTCATGTGAAAGAGTACAGATCATTTGCTGTGCAAAGAAGTCTCAAACGTTGTGAGTTAAGAATATGCTTTCTTCTATGCACTATTTATTTCCTCTGTTCTTGCCATTGACCACAGTAATTCTGCAGTGCTTCATGGCAAAACTGCATAGTGTCTTACAGTCGATTTTTACTTTAAATACTAAAACCAAACAGTACCTTCCGCCTTCATTTTCACTTGGTGATTATATAAATATTAAATTTGGTAGAACTAGTTCTTCCTTTGGGGAAACCTCTGTTGTACAAGAGAACTGTTTGAGTTCAGTTAGGTGGTTTTATGGACTAATCACTAAAGGTAGCACAATCTTTATAAATACTTATCTTTTTGTATAATGTAGATCCAAAATACATACATTTATTACAAAGATAGTTGATCGTAGCATCTGAGATGTTAGTGAATTCTTTTGCATTTTATTTTATATTCTGTGCTATACAAGATTTTATTCTGCATGAGTTCCTTGGGGAAATAAAAATGCTAAGAATAAACATTAGTAGAGCATTGTAATTGAAAAGACTTTAAAAATATTTCATTCTTACTGTGTGGCTTTAGCTCTCTTTCCTTCAGGCAAAAACCCTCCTAAGCCCAGGCACAAGTCCGAAGGTAAACCCAGCGTCGGTCTGGCTGCCCTTCCCCCGTCCTGTAGGAGAGTAGCTTAATCAGACTCGCCTTTTAGAGCGGACCGGTGCCTGCGCACCTTCTACACCTACCAGTTCCCTTATGATTTTGCTCTGCCTCCCCATAGCGGTAGTTAATTTGCACTGCTTCTTTCCTTCAACCCTGATCCTTTGACTCTTAACAGTTTTTAGTGAACATTCTGGTGCTTTTTTTTAAACAGGTGGTTTGTTCTTTTCATTTCTTCCCACCCCTGAAAAAAGCTGTATTCCTTTCTTAATGCCTCTCTATCACTGACTGGAAGAATTCCGAACATTTCAATACTTGGTTACATAATGCAGCAGTCAGAGTGCGAGTTCTCTGATTCGTAAAGACGGGTGGTGTACAGCAGTCTGTGTGCGTGTGCCCCGCCTCAGTGCAGAATGCATGCTTCTTGTGAGACAATCAGTCTGGCATTGTGTTTTTCTTTGGCTCTATAACCATCAGGTGATAATTTAGAAAATTAAGGGGTTTAAGAACATCATACTGAAGAAAAAAAGCAAAACACATTTAGTTTGTTGTGTGACATAGATATGTGTGTGTGTGTGTGTGTATTGGAGGTAGATATAGAAATAGATATACATATATACACTACCATCATCATGATAGCAGCTGCCATTTATTAGTCACCTGCTGTGTGCTAGGCACTGTGATGTGTACTTCATGTTCACTTATTTATTTAACCTTTAAAATAGTTCAGTGAGGGAGGTAGCATTATCTTTGTTTACAAATGAGGATAGGAAGGCTGGAATTAAACAACTTGGTTATTACTTTTTATTCCATGATTTTTGGTTGGTTTTTATTCTATAAATAAAGAGGTTGCCAAAAGTAGGTTTACAGTTGTGAGTAATGCAAAACACAGTTTATTCTTACATTATAATTTATTATTTATTTATATTTCTTTGTATTTTAACTGTAAACCTACTTTTGCCCCATCCTGTATGCATTAATTCTGTGGAATTTTGCGCTTTTCTATAGGACCAAAAAAGCATACCTTTGTAAGTAATACAGGCATTAAACTGTGACATTTTGAGTTTTGTGAAGATAAGTTATTTGTGAAATTTTGTTCTCCCCAGTTAGCTCTTTAATAGAATCTGAGTAGTATTGTAGCCCAGGTTGCATTTATGATTTAGTGTATACAGTGTGAAGACAGTTTCTATATCTAACTTTTAAATAGCCACAGGAAGTTCCATGTAATGTAGTTCTGTGCCACTTGCATTCAGACTCCTTTCTCCCTTAGCCATCTGGGTCAAGTGTATACGGTACGTGTGGGTGTACGTTATGTGTGGGTGCACCAGGTGGCAGCAGAGCAGCACGGAAGGAGTGAGGCGCAGCTCTAAGCATTGGTTCTGAAATCCTGCTCCCGTTCAGACCTGAGGAAACAGGAGGGAGGCGGTGGAAAATGGAAGGGACCAGTCAGCAGTGTCTGGGACTGCCCCAGCCCGTGGGGGAAGGGAAGCAAACACCTCCCAGGCTGTGTGCTCAGACTGAGATGGAGCCGGAGGGCAGGGCGGTCCAGGAGGGGGCGAGGCTGCATCTCAACAGGCATGGCAGGCAGCGCAGGAACAGACACTGATTTAGGAACAGTACGTTTGTGCAGGTGGACAAGGTGCCGGCTGGGCACCTGGGCTTTGCTGCAGCCCTGTAAGCAGGTGACTATACAGGTCAGATGCTCGAGGATATGTGTATGGTTTCCCATTAAAGTTTATTTCCTTTCCTTTTAAAACTTTGACTCTTTTTCTATCTCCTCAATGCTTCCCTTCTGTTCTCACTGATTTTGCCCCCACTGATCCCTTTCCTGCCCGTCCCT